AGGCCCCCTGCACCAACCACTGCACGAACGGTCCTGCCGCGAGGAAAGCAGCTTCTCCAGATGTGCCCAGCAAAGCCTCCAACAGCAAACGCCCGCTCGCCCTCCCAGCCGGTCACCGCGTTCAAGGAGCCTCTTTAATTAAAAACAAGCTCTTGATTTTCCTTAATCAGACCRGACGCCTTCCTCTCTTTCAAGTGGCCATTCTGCCCCGCGTTTGCTCTGCATTAGCGCTCAGCGGGGCTCGGACGCAGCGGGCAATGGCACTGGCGCTGGGAAGACCCTCGCGGAGCGGCCAGCCCCTTAATGGCAATTAGAGGTTTAGGGGTTATTTAAGCCTCAGTCACTCTCAGTGCCCTCACACAGGATGCCATTACCTCATTAGCGGGGAAGACAAATTACCAGGGCACCCTTGAACATTTTCRTATTTTAAAGCCAAAGGTGATATATATTGGCCATACTTCTCATTTTCAGCAAGGAAGGTGAATCGGAGGGCACTGGATGTAGAAATGGGGCTAAGTCACAGGAGAGCATCTGCAGCATTTGATTAGGGAATATGAATCTCTGCAACTGAGACTCCTCTGAGCCCTGGAGATTATTAAAAAAAGGAATAAAGAAAAAAAAAAAAAAAGGAAGAGCCTGAAGAGCCTCTCACCTGATGTGTGGTCACGATGGGATTTGGTGCTGCTCRTGAAGCCTTCCTCACCCCCAGGACCTGTCCTCGCCCCATCTCCCAACGCAGCGCCGAGCTCACACCGCTGCCCGCCCTCCGGGACGAGCACGAGCGCGAACACTACGACTTGCCCGAGTGAATCATTTCCCAAAAACTTCAACTAAACACATCGTTTTTGCCATCTCCACTAGCCTTCGATCCCATCTGAAAGTGGACAACAATTTCAGGAGTTATTGACATTAGAGAGATACACAGAGATGCTCACAAAAGTATCCTAAATTCCCCGTTCCCTGAGGAACCAGGCTAAAAATGTCAAGTATGAAAGAATAGATCAGAACCACACATTTCTGTTGCACCCAAAGAATCCGGGATTTACATCCCTCATTAGCATATTGTGTTTTGTGGCTTATTTTTATTAATTTTCACTCCATAATCAAGGAGTACGATGGAAGTCTTGTGCTCTTGTGGGATTAGTGCAAATAATGGGGATTGAGAAAGGCGTAGAGCCGCTAAAGCAAGGCGTTAATCCTCATGAATACACAGTGTGTCAGCTCGTCATTAAAAAAGGGGATATAGCAAAGAAACCCCGAGGACTAAGAGCCTGGAAGGCATTTCCCCAGGGAGAGGGGCCCCGGAGCAGCCCACGCCGCTCTCCTTGCAGCCTGAGCTCTAACGCAGCAGCGCTATAAAATGAGCAAAAATGGGGCCCTGAACATGCAGGTTACCTCAGGGCTGGTCCYGCCTCTCCGTCCACGCCACGCAAGCGCAGGCAACGTTGCCCAACACCTGTGTTTTTGACAGAAATGGCTCACACAATGTGTCAATAGGATATATATAATCCTTCAGATGGTATTACATGTAATACTGGCTGTGACCATGCATGTGGCCTTGGATCTCCTCCTGATCACTGTGATGCTGTAAGAGAAAGGACTGTGCAGGTTTAGGAGTTACGTCTGTGCTCTGTCCCTGGGAGATCAATTACAGACACAGCTTCTGCATCTATGAAAAACTGGGCAATCTCTCGGCATATTTTAACAGAGATTTACATCTTCTTAGCTATCAGTGTACATTTTTTTCTCTGTTATAGTCTCTGCTTTTCTTGCTAAAAAAATAAAAAACAAAGATCTGAAATTTATGAAGCTTACGTAATAGCATCAATATTCATTATTCCGAAGTTAATTTGATTACAAGACATGCATATATTGCACATGCAGAAGTTTTAGTCAAGTCTTTTGGAAATTGTGCTTATCCAWTCTGATAGCCTTCTACAACAAAATGACTAGCTTTTTGGAGGAGGAAAAGGCCAAGGATTTTATGTAATCTCGGATTTATTCACTCCAAAACACACCTGCCCTGGCAAGCTGATGACGTAYTAGGAAACTGGATGGAGAGGTGGCCTGAAAACAGCTGTGCTTGAARGGTTGTGAGCAACAGCATGAGGTCCAGCTGGAGACCAGGCACTAGCTGACCACCACAGAGCTCAATCCTGGGCCTAATATTGTTTGACTGCTTCATTGCAGATCCTTCTCGGCGACATCCAGGGTCAGGATGAAAGAAAACGGGCACAAGTTTAAATTCCATTTAAACATATGAAAAAAACGTTTTACTGTGAGCTTAGTCAAACACTAGAGCCAGCTCCCCAGAGATGTTGTAGAGTCTCCATTGCTCTCATTCTGGGAAGGCTAAAATTCCCTTGGTAAATTTAGCTTCTTCTTAATGATTTTACAGTGTGTAGGAGATGTAGTTTGTCCCAAATCAAGACTCACAGAGGAGAAGAAAAATATATTAAGTTGGTGCTGCAGCAGGGAAGAAAATGGAGTTTCTAGTTGGGCAAACCTAAAATTGGATGAAAGGCTTCTTGTATTAGAAGAAAAGATCTGAGAGAGGKGGAGACTAAATACTTGGCCACAGAAAATTCAGCAGTGGTAAAACAAAATTTTGCACATGGGAGAAACTGTTCTGATATTATATATGAAATAGGAAGTTAAGAAGAAGACGTTATGACTCAGAAAAGACACATTATAATTGATACCTTCCTTGAAAATGTCAGCTCARTGATTAATAGTGTTGAAGAAATCCACCAAACAAAGCTTATGAGTTATTGCAAGAGATGGGGCGAACACAACAGAGAGAACTTCTGTATTCCTCTGCAAATTCATCCTGTCTGCTACATGTGGTTCCCATGTGAACATTCCCAAAAGGATGGAAAAGGCTTCGGGAAGGCCAACAAGTAGCATCAAAATGACGAGACAGTATCCCTATAAAGAGAACCTAAATAAAACAGACGTCTTCCCCAGTATAGAGGTGATATATCAGGTATCTGAAACCATGGACAGCGTGGAAAGTGTTGATAGGTTCCTAACACCGGGATGAGAAGGCATTGCATGAAAGCATTAGCACCATGAATCATCACCTTTCACACTACTCATACCTAATTAACGGGGCAGAATATCAAAGAAAACTTCCAGGGGGATCAAGAAGTGTTTGGAGAGAGCATCGTGCATGAGGAGGGAGGYCAGCACTGGCGGGACTCCAGCTGGGAGCGCTGCTCGGAGACAGCTCATCAGCAGGAGGGTGGCCTGGCCATAAACTAGTGGAAACCTAGCATTTCACAAAGCTGAACTCCTCAATCATTTCTGCGTTTTGCCAAGCATATTCTTGCCTGCGTGCAAGAATGATTTACAAGGAATGTACCTGTATTTTGCTATGTCTAAGCTTGCCAAAAATAAATCAGCAATTAAGAAGGCACCTAGYAATTATTCAAGGTATAGGCAGTCTTCCCAACTTTCAGGATCCTGGMTGAATTTTTCAAGAAATACGAGACTTCATTTCCCATAGACCAGCACTCCAGTAAATAAGGATGCAACAGAGACAAGGGGTGAAACTTTAAGTCCATAAAGCCTGTGCTGGAAACAGACACAAATCTTCAACAAGAGGGGTTATCTGYCACAGCAGGGTTCACGAGAGGGTCTGTGGCATTCCCCATCACTTGAAGTCTTCATAGGAGGGAAGGGGAGGTTGCTCCTAAAAATAATGTTGCTGCAGCAGAAGCTATGGGATTAATGCAAGACCCTGCTCAGGAGACACCCTGCTTTGCACAGGCCCCAGGCAATCACGTGCTATTTAGCGATGCAGAAGATCTATTAAGCTTTGCTCAAGACAATTTTTATAGACAGAATTTCAGAGGAAAGGCTCCCTACTCGCCTCAGGCACTTCTCTTCAGGAAGGCAAACAAATAAATATCACATAAATAAAAATCACAGAGTATTCTGTGATTCTGGGTGATTCTGTGAAAAATATAAATTTAGCAGATTCCAAGTGGTGCTTGGCCATACCAACCCCACGGGTGCCCAAAGACTGCTGCAAATACTGCCCACACCTGGGACTGCCAACAAAGCTGTCAGGGAGGAGCAAAGATGATGTTGGAGTGAGGAAAGAGCACAACATGGTTTCTCTTCTAGGTTGTGAGCCTCAGGGTGCTCCTAGTAGCCACTGGTATGGCAGTAACCGCAGGAGAGCAAAGCTCCTGAGGAAAACTTGAGTTTTATCTTGGATTAATTGAAACACGTACCTAAGAAATGGCAGCTGACAATGYAATCAAGGAAATCATGGAATCATTAAGGTTGGAAGGGACCTCTAGAGATCATCCAGCCCAACCCAAATGCGGGTATGATGTGGGAAATGATGCGGGTACCGGCTGTGCCTTCAAAGGGCAGGGAAATACCAGCATTTGCAAAAGGACCAAAATACAAGTTTATTTCTGCAGGCTGGGTTGCCATTCCAGTGGAAACGGCATTCTGAGGCTGAGGGGCTATGTAGAAGTCGTGCTTCACACCGCTCTGTGCAGCCTGCAAAGGGGAGCGCCAGGCCAGGCTCCCGCTCCCGCACGCATTCCCTCGGAGCATCTTCACCTCTCCAGCCAAAGGACCTGGGTGCCCAGGGTGGCCACACCACAAAACAGCTCTTCGCCCTTGATTTACAATTTTGATGCAAGATACGAGACAGCAGAGAAGCTTCACGGTCTGAAAATCTGGACTGCTCATGGAGCAAGGACCCGAGCAAGGGAGAGAGAGGGCTGGAGGGGAACAATCCTCRTCCCGCCTGTCCAGGAGGACAGCACATCTGGCCAGGAACACATTCCATCCAACCCAGGACCCCGGCAGTTGCCCCTGGTCACACAGCAGCTCTGGGGCCAGGAGCAAYGGGAGTCTGCAGCCCAGGACGAAAAGATACAAAGTGCAGCTGCCAATTGAAAAGGTAACCAGGAATCCTGTGCATTTTTTTTCTTTATAAAATGTACATAAAGAACATGTGCTCCTTGAGGTAAAAGTGAGAGCAGTTTGTAATTTAACCAGAGATGTTAACAACGATGGCAAAAAATAATTCTACTGTGGGTGTTCTGGCAAAATAAGAGCCCAAGTTTTGGCTATTTACACTRATCAAGATAGTTAAAATGCAATAATCATTATATATACATTAGATACATACAATTACAGTTATTTATAGAATATTTACACAAACACAGATTTGTTTTCCCTTTGCAGGCGGTAGTGTTCAAGCAGAAGAGCATCTCGTCTTTCCCRAGAAGGTGCCGAGGCCACTCGATCTCCTGCGCAGCAACATGTGGTTCTCCAGTCTCTCCTGTGGTCCTATCGTCCCAAAACATTTTGTTAAATATCACAGTTGTGTTTGTTGCCAYGTTCCTGTTTCCTCACCATGGATGGGCAGTCAGAAGCCTCCAGCACATGAAGATCACGGCATTTGGGATCCCAGGGCAGCAGCTCTGACTTTTCTCAACTTCTCAGCCATGACTTTAGCTATGAGCAAAGTTCATTGCTGTTCATCTGTCCAAGTATGTGTCCATGTTCAAGTTGCTTCCTCAATGGAAAGAGTCCTGGGGAGTGGATGTGGCAGGGAAGTGGTTGCAAGGGACCTGCTGCAGGTCCTCGGTGGGCTCTCATGAGGAGGTCCTCAACAAGAGGACAACCCCAACCATGCCAAGAGCCAGCTAGGAGGGAGCACGGTAGGTGAGGCTACCAGGATGCATGGGGAAACATCGGCACAGGGAACGCAAACACCCTCTCCCCATTAAGTTTCTTGTCAGGAGTTCAACACTGATTTCATATTTAAAATACCAGGGGTCCTTTCAAGGTAGTTTGAAACAGAGAGTGAGAGAACGAGCCAGGGTGCTCTTTGCTGAGCTTAGACTTCAGGTGCTGGAGGAGCAGGGCACAGGTACGAGCAGCTCGAACACCAGGTAAGATGCTCTTTTACCAGGGGTTAATCTGAGCCTCAGCCCCGCGCCCTCTGCAAGCCTAGTTCTGCAGGAGCACTCGCTGTGAGCACGACGACATGGTCACAAAGACGTCGTTTGGACGTTTTGTGGTGGGACAAAAACAAAACATCCTTTCCACAATATGCAGCTCATAGTACAAACTCCCTGCTCTGACGGCTAGAAAGGAAAACAAAGTCATGTTCAAGTAAGTCACATCAGAATGTATTTTCCCCAAGTCTCCTGTCTTGGGGTTAATTATAGCTTGCATATTTCTATTATACATCTTATTTAACCCAGAGATACAAATCCTGTAGCCTGGCCCAAAGCAGCGCACAGGGAGGGGTTATTGGGTTGGGAAGGGGAGCAGACGGACACCAGGAAGGGCTCAGAACACCATTTAGCAGGAGCTAGAGTTGGCACGAGAGCAAGTGACGCCGAACCGGCCACGGCCACGTTGGAGGYGGCAGCGAGGGGCGGGCAGCAAACCCTGAGCAACGGGCTCCACGAGGGCTGGAACGCAGCGCAGAGCCCAAAACCGCCTCCCCTGTCCCCGGGGCGGGTGGCGAGTGGCACCTGCACGAGGTCAACAGGCTGGGAGAATGGGGGTGACCGCAGGTCCTCCCCACGAGCAGCGTGGCACAGGGCAGAGCAAAGCAGCGAGCACCTCCCGGGGCAGGAGTGAGCGCCAGGGCACATTCCTGCTGCTCTTGCTGCCCGCCTCGAAACAAGAATAAGACACCCTGAAGTGTAATAATAAGCTTTTTGTAGGTTTTGTAGTGTTATGGAAAAACTCGAGGATGAATCCAGATGGCACCCATCTCTTCATTAGCATACTGCAGGCAAAGACTGCTCCTAACACCAAACTATAGCTTTTTTATTGAATTGTTCTAGAGAGGCGTTCTCCTGGTGGATAGCACTTCTTCTTGGGGATAAAGAGATGCTCAAATATCCCCTGATGAAAAAATACCAAAAACCAACAAAAAAATCCTCACGCTACAACTGTGCAAACCATCCAAATGTAGAAACAACTCACCCTCTTCCGCTGAGGGCAAAAAGCACATTCTCCAGCTGGCTAAACCTTTCCTGGCCGACSGCACGGGGCAGCAAACGAAGGTGGAGCAGTTAGCTGCTGCTTTGACTCATCAGGTCTGTTCTAAACTGGGGGTCCAGCTTGAGCAAAGCTGTGGTGAATGGAGCGCACGTCTCAGCTGCTGCTGGAGGGGAGGCTCACGCTCTGGTTTCAAGAGTTCCACATTTTGGCAAGGATTTCTGTGGGCCTGACAGTAAAACACGCTCAGCTAAAAGCCACCCAAGCCTGGCCACTGTGAAATGAGCTGGGGTTAGAGAGCCTGTCCTAGGCACTATATGGTGGTTAATGCTTTTATTYTTATCCCCTAAGACACTTGGACGGGCTCTACAGGGGCTGCAATGCTTCTTTGAAGGGGGATGGTGCATTTGCACAGTGTTTGCTCCTCTTTTTGGCCTGTGCTCTTCTCCCCTTGTGCCCCATCCAGGCCATGGGCTGCGGCTGCTGCAGGAGCAGCACTGGGGTTAGTGCGCTGAGATCCAAGCAGGTTGGAGCTGCGTGTTGGATTTCACGCCCAGGCTCTGGAAGGAACCCGCCTTTGCTGGAACCTTTGCTGCAGGTGGGCAGAAGACCCCAGGAACATCCCTATCTGAGATGCTCCTGATGGAGAATCAAAAACCCTTGGCAAGGTTAACACGGAGCCCACCTAGCGCTGCCCTGGGAGCATCTGGCCTCTGACCGGGGCCAAACACGAAGCTAAGTCCGTGTCTTCTGAACCACGTATTGCACGAGCAAGTCAAAAACACGCCAGGCACGTTACGAGACTGGACTCCCTGGCTCAAACTCTCTCGATGGCTGACATCCCCCAAATTTCACAAATACTTTGTTTTTTATACAAAAAAAAAAAAAAAAAATCAAGACTAGGAAATACATATCTCAATTTGCACTTCTGGTCATGGCCTGAACACAGCAAAACGTTAATATTCTTGTGAGACTAAGATAAAGGAAGATTAGTCTATGTCCAAACCAACGGGTGAAAAACAGCCTTTCTTGACACTTTCTTCTGCACTTAAGCAAGCGAAAATAGGCGTGGAAAATATATTTCCTTTCAGGCAAAGTCCCGGCCTTTTCAGGACAAACAGCTGATGCTGCCCTGCAAGAAGACCTTGGTCTTCAGCTGTCAATCAAAACCTTTTATTATTCCCCAGGGTCCGTCACCAAGGGGATTAAGAGAAGAAGGTACAAACTGGCACACATGAGGAAACAGGGATTGCACCTTTCTCCCGAGCTGCCCTGCCGCCGGGTCGTGCTGCGTGACCCGGCTCTGTGCTCGCCAAGGGGCTCCCAATTCCACTCTTCTATTTTCAGACGTGACAAATAGAGGGAAAAACAGCTAAATATTCCAAAAGACCTCAGCAAAATGCCACCAGGTCAGTGCACATAAAGGGGCGCATCCTGCGGTGCTGCCCCTCAGGCCCTGCTGGTCCCACAGCTCGGAGCTGCTCCCGCTGCTGCTCCAGGTGGGAAAGGGCGAGCGATGGCCGGTGCCCACGGGGGTCACGGCTGCAAAGCTCCCGCCAGCAAAAATCACCTGTTCCTCCCCAAAACGGCTGCAGCAGATTCCCGTCGCGCGCCGCCAGCCCCGCACGCCAGCGCTGCCCAACAAACACACACACCACGTCGCTCCCTTACCTGGAAAGAGGCTTTATTGAACATAGCTGTAAAATTATCTCTTCAGTTGAATTACTGAATTTGCACAAACATTTCTCTACAGAATAAAAAAAAAAAATCAAGCCTTGTCATCATTTTACTGCATCTCATTGTGCTTTTTTTTTATTTTTGTATTTGTATTTGCAAATGTTATATGTGTTGGTTGGTTTGAATGTTTATTCTCCAATTGCTTGCATATCAGGTTGTAATTTTTTTTTGTTTTTTTAAATCCTAGGGTGTTGAAAGAACACATAATAATAATAATTATAATAATAATACTCTCTTTTAGACAAAAGTCTTTTTGTTTTCCTTTTTTTTTTTTTAAATGAAGTTAAAAGCTGAGATAATTTAAGGAAAAAAAGGTCTTCAAATCGTCATAACCAACTGTCAGGGAACTTTACAATGCATTGGAAAACCGGCTGGTTCAAGGTATGGTATGTGTTCAGGTAGCTCAAAATCATTTGTACAGGTTTGATTTTCTTGTAAAAGTGTTTTTTTTCTCTCTCACTTTTTTATTTTTTTTTTAATTTTATTTTTTTAAACTCCGCTAAAATAATAATAAAATAATCTCTGGCAGTGGGCGCAGCGCCCGGCTCGGGGCAGGGGCACCGCGTCCTCAGTGTCCCCTCGCAGCGGCCCACAAACAAAAACCCACGGCCGTGTCTCACCACCGTCCGTGCTAAGTGCATCGCAACCACCTTTTCCTCTGGTTGACCCACTGGATAACCTGGAAAAAAAAGAAAGAAAAAAAAAAAAAAGAAAAAAAAAAGTGCTGCCCCATTTTGAGGCCCAACGGGAGCTTTTTCTGTGTGTGTTTTATATTCTCTAACGGGCAAGAAGCTGAAAGGCCATGGCTGTCTGGCAGGTTAGCGACAAATACCTCGTCCGCAAGGGCCTCGGCGGCGGCGCAGGTCCAGGCAGCTCCAGACGCGGCTCCGCTCGCTCCCCGCCGTCTGCGGGCGCCGGGCTCGGGTACAAAACCTTGCACAAACCGCCGTGTAGCAGCGCAAGCTCCCGTGTTGAAATCAACATCATCATCATCATCATCATCACCATCATCATCATCATCATCTTTTTTTTTTTTAATTCTTTTTTTTTTTTTTTTTTAATCATCAGGCTTGTTTCATTGAAGGCACTTGGTTTCCATGGCGATTTATAAAAGACGGTGGTTTGGTTTCTTCTCGGATGCCTCGGGGCGGGGAGAGGGCTGATGGGGAGGCCAGACGGAGCAAGCGGGAGGGAGAAGCCGGTGCCGGGCTCGCTCCGCATGCAGGAGGCGGCACCGCGCGGAGCAGGGAGCGGAGGTGTCCCCGGAGGTGTCCCCGGAGCCGCGGCCGAGGCGCACGGGTGTCCCCAGGAGCTGCGGCCGGCCGGTCCCCGCCGAGGGGACAGCCCGTGGCGCAAGCGCCCGCGTGCAGCTGAGCCCGCGCCCAAACCTTCTCCGAGGGCGACAYGAGCTCTTCCATACCCTGTGTACAGTGAGGTGCTGCTCTCGCTCTCGCTTGGCTTAATTTTTCTCTCTCTCTCCTTTTTTTGTGTGTTTTTTGTTTGTTTGTTTTTGGCAGGCCATTAGGTTTCCATGGTAACAAGCAAACTATTCATCTGAAACAAAACCAGCCGTGACTTTGTGCTTTGACAAGGGTTTCTACTGCTCGTCTCCGAGAGTTCAACCAGACGATGCCGTGTTCGTTACTGACCACAAAAGCACCTGAAGGTCTCGTCCTCCCTTGGGCCAGAAACCGCTCTCACGTGTGGTTCATAGTGAGTTACACTCCCGTGATGCCTTGTTATGTCCCCAGTGCTTTTTTTTTTTAATTATTATTTATTTATTTTTTATTTATTTATGTATTTATTTAACGTTTGAGTCAGTCAGTGGAGGAATCTTTGGTAGTTTGTTTTTAAATGTCCGTTTTACAAAGACTCTTTCTTCGTGCCAGTGCCTGGTGAATCTGTTGTAGCCTCTGCCAGGATAAGGTCACCTTTGATGACTTAAGACAGACAGGAGGATGAGAAGTGGGATAAGTCGTATATGCGCTAATGTCCCAACAGCACCTGATCGTAAATCTATAAAAAGGGGCAAAAAGGTAGAATTACTGAGCTGCCTGCTCAGGAGAACGGCACTGCTACCAGGTCCAGAAGACAAGGGGCAACCTGGCTGCCCGCAAACCTTTTCCTRTTATTGCATTATCCACCCATCCATRCCTAGTCACTGAGAGAGGAATAAACATATGGCACGCAGGTCACCAAGACCTCACCAAGTCTAAATGTGCCACCTCCAGTCCRTGGGGCTCTTTCTGAAAAGCCAGAAGCTGCTCATTACTCCCTGTGCTAATGACTCACCAGGTCCTCGGGGCTCCCCTGCAGTTTGGGGGAGTCTCTTGGGTGCAGAAACTTGGCCATTTATATATATTATCCCATTTATAATCCTATGTCTATATATACATATAGATATTCAGAAATCACTTGCTGTCCTTGCTTGGGATGGGAGTGCCACTTACTGTTGGCCGGTTGGTCTGATTTCATACACTCTCCTTCCACGATCGATACGTCATCGATAGCGATATCGCCCTCAATGCCAGGGCCACGGATCCCTTCAAATATGAGCTGGGAAGAAGTAAAGAAAAAAACCATTCACAAGGTGGGAAAAATAGGGGGAATGGACAACACGCAGCTGTGTTTAGCGACGTGTTGATCTGCACTGATGGGAGTGGAGTAATTCAAAAATAATTTCCATGATGTTGGAAAATGCAACGAGTTCCCACAACTGTTTAGGCAGGGGCAGGATACGGGTGGGTTATGAGACTGATGCCTCAGAACTAGCTGAGAAACATCAGGGCTCCCAGCTCCCGCACCACGACACTTCTCCCTCTTCCCCAGTATCTCTGTGCCATGGTGGGGCAGAGATACTCTGGGGGTTTCCTTCTCAGGTTAACAAGTTATCTGCTGTCCTTCCTCAAAGCTGCTGTGATCCCGTCCTGCCAAGCTGCCGCCTTAATKAGCTCCGCAGAAAGCCCACTCTGTGTTGCAGCAAATTTATTCACCAGCAAACTTCAAAGCCTTTCTATAGAGATGACGAGAGTTATGTAAGGAATATATTTCCCAAGCAGCATCATTCGCTCTGATATCTCCCCACTCCCCTTTCCGCCTTGTTCCTTTGAAATGCTCTTGGTTAACTCCGATGACAAGTTTTTGAACTTTAATCTGCAACAATATATATATATATATATGCATGATATCCAATGAACCCTATTAAGGACTAGTATGGCACTAAGGGGAGAAATTAACTCTTGGAGGCAGCGCTGATTTGAACAACAACAATAACCAAAAAAAAAAAAAAAAAGGATTCCCTATGGAACAAAATACTTAAATTATACTTTGACATAATTTAATGGCATTAGAGGGATATGTGGAGCACTGTGATGGGCTCTTGTGTTGCCACCAATCTCAGCAGGACACAGACGTAGATGCAGGTTGACTCTTTGGCAGCTTCCAACATCTTCTGCACGTTGACACAGTTCCACTGTAGTTGYTCATAAAAACTTGATAACTTTAATTATTAATATTCAGCAAACAGCACAGTGGGAGACGCCCCTGCGAGTGGCAGGAGGGCTCCACCCTGTGTGGTTCGGTCCAGCTGCAGAAACCCACATCACACAYGGTGCCAAGGCACCAGACACGGAGCCTCTCGGGCTCCTACGAGGCTGGATAAATCCACTAGGGATTTGGCYGCAGCACAAGGCAATACCTGGAAACACCAGCTCATGTATTTGCTCTCTGCAGGCAGTGCCCTAAGCCAGGCTGCAAGGGCTGCACGGGGAGCATAACTGGATGTGAAAGACATGCCTTTGGAGCAGGTGGCTCCACCGCTATCTCACCAAAGTGTGGTACTGCGGGTTAATTACTGTGACAAGGTGGATATTAGTGCAACGGGGAACAGTAATTGGGGAAACAGTGAGCTTTTCCATAATTTACCCTGTTGTCTGAAAACAATGTCTCAAGTAATTATCCCTCTTACATTTTTCCATTCTATCTCTGATAATAGGAAGCATTCAGCGTGGAAGTCTGTGCTCCTCTCCCCAAAGCCCAGCTCAACTCGTGCTCCTTGGCACCAGGCAGATAACCAATCAACTGAACGTGGAGTCAAATCCTTCCTGGCAATGAAAAACACTCGTTCCCGCACAAAAGGATTCTATACAACACAATGGCCRGCATTTAATTAAAATCTGCATTTGGCAGTAGGCCGTATAGGTCTCCAAGACGGTTTGCTATTAGCCAGCTTGGCCCCGCGCTCCGAGCAAAACATGGCAGATGAATATTGGCAGTGCCTGGAGCACCGGCCAGTCTGCAGTCCACAGCTATCTGCAGACGTGCCACATGATCAGCATCTCCTAGTGGTCTCTAGAAAAGGCCATTATCTGCATGCCTGGGGTTTTGCAAAGCTGCTCTTCAAAATACTGCATTTAGCTGAAGAATGGGAGAGCTTACAAATATACCTAAGGCCACTCTGCTCCCTTAAAAAGGGAAAGGGAGGATTTTCTTTACAGTGCCTCCAGATCTATCCCACGTGTCCTGGAGGGGGAATGCACCTTGTGCTTCTTCACACAGTTTCAAGTACATTTTAACTTTCCGGGAAAATTTCTCAGTTCCCGAACGAATGCCAGGCTGCCCTCACCTGCCAACAGTGATGACAGGGCTGCATTTTATGACTTACTTTCCTGGCCTTGTCCTCTGCCCAGCCAGCTACCACCCACTGGTTCTAGACCCCACTTGGCTCCCTGGCAGAGCCGGAGGGTCTCAACCTGCTCTGAGTGCTCAGGAGTGAAGGTGATGGCAGCAGGAACAGTGCCCACCATCCCACTGCCACCCTAAAAACGGCTCTCTCAGTGACTTCATCTGAGAAGTCCAGGTGAGATCAGGATCAAACTTCAGCCCTGCCAGAGGCTGAGGATCTCAGCATCATGGAGATGCAGATATATCCAGCTCAAGCAGCAGGACTTGGCAGCAATTCAGTGGAGCTTTGCTGCCAGCTTCTGAGCTGCAACCGCTCTGCAGAGAACATTGCTCCCTGCTGTGTGTGCCCGTCTTTGGCCAGCTGTCCTCATTCTCCACTTACTAGAATTTACTACATTTTGCAGGCACACCTTCATTGATTTATGGGCAAATCACTGATTTATGGGCAAATCTCTGCAAAAACCCTCCTTTTTTTTTTTTGAGGAATTAAATGATTCGTGCTGAACAACCTGCCCTGAGCCACTGCAGGATTCGGCAAGCTAGCTGAGATTTGGGGAGGAAAAAATCTCAAGCCAAATAGAGAAACCAGCACCATGAACATAAGATTAAAATCTCAAAATCTTAAAGTCTACCTTTAGAGCTGCAAAAAATGGAATAGTTCTGATCAAAGAGATCTTCAGCAACCTTTACCCAGTCTGACTGAAGACCAAAACTCAAGATTGTCCCACTGGCTGCAATTTGATTTATACCTCCTAMAGGCTCAAGCCATGACAAGTTCCACTCCCAGGGCTGGTCTACTGCAGCTGAAGATAGAGCAGATTGCCTTCTCCTTTCTGCTCTTCAGTGATGGATGTCTTCAACTTCTGGCTACGGGGGCTGGTCCTGTGGAGAGGCCTCCAAAGCAGCCGCAAGGAGACCTCAAGGAAACTGTAGCTGAAAGGGGCTGAGAGCTCCTGCCTACATTTGAGCTAAAATCAAGGACTCCACAGGTGCCAGCAGGCAGTGCATCGCTTCCGTATGCTTTTGTTTCTGCTTATTCTCCTTCTATTTAATAATATTTAATAAGTCAGTGACTTCCTGAGGCTTTGCAAGATGTTTTCCGATTCTAAGCACTGCGGTGCTCTCAGCTCTTCATGACAGAGCTTTGTTGTATATCGTGGAGACTGGGAGGGTGTAAAACACACCCAGGCAGCACTTACCCATACAAATTAACCTATAAAAGGTTTTAATTTCTGTGTCAGTGTACTGTTTTACTGCAAAGATTCACTTCGATTCACTTGCCTTAAATTTAACTAGGAGTTTTATATTCATTCCCATTTAGGCTCTTAAACGGAAAATAGAGTTTGGTTGATGCAGGAGCAGCTAAAAAAGTAATTTACTGTTCCTCCCACTCTGACATTTATTTTGTTATTTGTGCAGACTTTCACGGCCTTGCATTCATTTTATGCCTTTAAAACAACAATATAAAAGTGAGAACCGGCAAATAGAGGAGTTTCCATTTTGTGTACCTGCTAGTGTTGCCAATGAACACAGCTTTAAAGAMGAACGAGATAAGGTATTTACGGCAGGAATGACCCAGTAGCATTTCTCTTCTGAAAGGGCAGCGAGTGCACGGCCCAAGGGGGACATCTGGGATCCAAACCTGCCCCTGGCTCTACCAGTGCAAAGTCACCCACCTGATGGGCTCCTGGTGCTCAGGTCCTGACCCTGACTGTACTGCAAGCCTCTCATTCCCCTTCCCTGCACTTTTCTTTGTTCAGCTGCAAAAACATGTCATGCCAGACTTTGCTTCGCCCTCTCATATATTTTTCCTCTAGTTTCCTCCTATGCAATGGTTCTGTGGTCACACGTGCCAAATAATTCCCTCGCCAAAGCTGCACAAAAAGGAAGAACATGTTTCAGCACCAGGAACGGCCCACAAGGCGAATCCCAAGCTCCATGTACATGCCAGTAGTTTCAATTTGCCTGAACATGACGGTTTCCACCCAAAGTTGCCATCTCCGTTAGGAAACTCGGGCATTACAGAGAGAGGAGAAGGAAGCCTGGAGAAGAGAAGGCTGAGAGGAGATCTGATTAACATGTATAAGTTCATGAAGGGAGAATGTAGGGAAGAAGGGGCCAAGCTCTTCTCAGTGGTGGCCAGTGACAGGACAAGGGGTAATGGGGACAAGCTGCAAAATAGGCAGTTCCATCTCCAGGTGAAGAGCAACTTCTTTACTGTTAGGGTGCCAGAGCAGTGGAACAGGCTGCCCAGGGGGGTTGTGGAGTCTCCTACTCTGGAGCTCTCCAAAACCCGCCTGGATGCCACCCTGTGCCACATGCTCTAGGTGTSCCTGCTTGAGCAGGAAGGTTGGACTAGATGATCTSTAGAGGTCCCTTCCAACCTTGAACATTCTGTGATTCTGTGAAGCCTGGAGAAGACCAGAGCTGGTAACATTCCTCCTGAGCGAGGAYACCCCCAGCCTCAACCCCAGTGAGCAGCTCCTGTTGAAGGAGACACACAGCTCCTGGTGTGAAGCAGAACGGTCCCTAACAGTCCCTCAGCATCTCACTGCCAAAGCGGGGAGGAAACGTGTGAAAACTTGTCCTCACTTGCACGAGCAAGGGCGCAGCTTTGCGGGAGCAGCCACCCCGGCTCTGCCACCCCCAGCACAGACTCTCAGGTCACCACTTCTTCACAGGGAGAAGGAGTGTAGCCCAGGGAACTTMCGACGCAAACACGACACTGCGTTTCCCACCTAGATTTCACACAAAGTAGTTTTATACTCCMCTTGCTACTCTGAAATAAGAAAGGCTTTGCATAAGCTAATGGTGTCTCTGGAAGACTGGAAGAGAGTTAACTCTTCTAGTAAAGAGTGGTGTCGTGCCATTACGCTGTGTGGCATGGTGCTCTGCAGGGTCTACCCACTTACAACACTGAGAGCCATTATCTGCCCACAAAGCAGCCTGCAGAGCTGCAAGGAAGCTGTGAGAGTCTGCGATAGGCCACGTGCATGGTGCTGCTCCCCACAARGAACCAAATATTCTCTTTGTGGTGTCTGTGCACCGCGGATCCGTCACTCTGCTGCAAAACCCAGCAGAGCAATGCAGCTCAACCTTACCTGAAATGACGTTGGGGGGTTTATATTAACCCGGGCTTGATTCCAGTGCTGTCCCTTGTTTCCACTTGAAGACCATAATGGATTTTCTATTGCGGTCTGACCCTTTAACCGCAGGTAGACATTCAAGCTTCCTAAAAGAAACATGGAGAACATGAGTTGGTTGGGCTCCTGGGTGAATCAACAGCACAGAGCTGGCCAAAGCAAGAGTCCGGAGGGGGCTCTGCCCATGACACCTCCTAGGCTGACACCAACCATGTGTGCAAAGTGCCTCCTACTCCTGGCCACCACTGGGGCTTATTGACCTSACTTCTGTTCCATGTGGGTCTCTCAGACTGAGAGATGTGTGCAAGGTGCTTGTTAGAAGCTTTTAAGCTCAGGAAAACCACAGATTGGAGGAATGGACTCATGGGAAGCAAAGAATTGGGAATGCAAGGATGCCCCTGGAGCCATCTTCCCTCAGCATGAGTTGCACACGTTGTTCCCAACAGCTCAGGAAAGACTTCAGAAAGTCACAAGACTTTTCAGAGAGAGAAGGGGAGCCCTAACCCTATCCCTAACCTTGCAGGGCTCCTTGTGCCTTAGCTTACCTCTCTGCTTTGGACACAAACCAGATTGTTTTGGTGCACCAAGAAGGGAAGCAACCATCAACTTCATTCAGCAGCATTCACTAATTCACCAAGGTTTAAGCTTGGAGGCTTGGTTCCCTGCTCCTCCTCGCTGTACTAGCATGTGAGCAGGGCAGGGCTGTCTTCGTACTATGCAGATTGTGACATTTGCACTGATTTGCAAGTCCCCTCTGCCAAGCTCACGCAAGMGCTTCTTCTGTTCCTCATGGTCATCTAGGCCGTGAGGAACAGCGGCTGCAAAGCTGGAAGCAAAGCTCTCCCCTGGAATCAGCAAGGAGCCCGTTTTGTCCCGAGGAAAGCAGGCAAAATACAACTTCTCTTTGCACTGAAACCTCCCAGATCTAAAGCAGCTGCAGAGCGACTCAGCTCCCGCTAATAGAAACTTCTTTCCAGCGATGGCAGAGGTCAGTGCCTTGAAGAACACAAAGCTAAATGTGCAACGGAGCCGCCAAGGCTCTCCCGACGGCTCATTCCGCAGGGAGCCCAGGACGCAGCCACAGGTCTTCTCCACGCAGGGCCAGGGTGGGCAGTGCAGCACGTGCTACTCGCTCCTAACCAGCGCGGTGCCTTCCAAAGGCCGGGAGCAGCCCGGCGCAGAGMCCTGCCTGGGGAGCAGCCTGGCCTGCCCAGGACACAGGGCTGTCTAACARGGCTTCTTCTATAGAAGAAATACGTGAAGCTATGAATTATATTCCTTAACCTACTTAYAAACTATTTTAAGGGACAAACCATTTATTGGGAGAGATTATTTCTGTGGTCTGAAGGGAGGCACAAGAGGCCAACTTCTGATGCGTTTAATTAGATTGCAAAAGTTTTCAGCTTTAAAGTTGCTGTTCAAAATGTGATCGGATTTATGAGTAGGACAAGCTTTTGTCACAGGGAAAGGTAATATTTTTAGCTATTTAACTTCCAGTAGCAAGAATATTAAAAGGACTTCAAACAATGTGCTCTTATGTAAAACACATCCTTCAAACCAGGGGTATCAAGTCTACACCACCTGAAACACTGCATAATGATAGGGTTTGATTTTTCTGGCCAAATCGTTGTGTTGTAGCAACTCCTTTCCTAGACCAAAGTAATTGCTAAGTTCACAAATGTTCAAAAACTTATTCAAGTAGTTATCTCATCAATGGCACTGTTCACACCATAACCATGTGTTTAAATCATTGAAATTTTAGAATATCATAATTCATTATATATTTATTTTCTTTTCTTTTATACTGTCCTGATGTGAACAACCTAGTCATGATAAATTTCATATCTGGGGACTCAAAGTTTTTTTTTTTTTTTTAAGTTAAATAATATATTTATTGAATGTACATCCTTATGTGCTTTGTAAAGTTTTGGCAATATGAGGAATTAAAATATAGCATTTAATAGAGCTCTGTGTTCATGCAGTCAAGTACATGGCTGATGCTACTAATTTACTATTTTTCCTGCACTCTTCTCTTTAAAGACATGGAATAATTAGTAATTGTGTAGAAAGCTATTCAAAAGTGGATGATTTCAAAAATTAGCCAAATTGACAGTAACTATATTTTTGAACATTCAAGAACACAAGATAAACTGAGCAACTTCTGGTTTTGACTACCAGGGGTTCATGTTATATACAGACAAATTCTATCTGACCTGCACCACTAATGATCATTATAACCATCTTCATCAGCAGGTCAACTTCTTCATCAGAAGGGATTACACACGTCAGATCACGAAATTACACACGAGCAGATAAGCGCAATCTCAGCAAGGATGCTAAGGACATGAGGGCTCCTTAATGGGTAGCCCAGAAGGAAAAAAAAAAAAAAAAAAAGCACATTGGCCATATCAGAGAGATCATCCTTCTGTGGAGATGTGAGCTTCAGTGGCTGTTGGTCTCTCCCAACTCTACTGTGTCCTGGAAAAACATTCTGCTCCTTAATGTTTCTAACTTTGCTCTTCACTGTTATAGACCACAAGTACTCTTACAGGCTTTTTTCTTTCTCTTTTTCTTTGTTCTTCCCCATTAAATATGGCCTGACCTCATCACTCCTTTCCAATAAATAAGCAAGTTCTTGCTACAACTGAGAGTGAAAAAAAAAATTATGAAATGCGTTGAAGTGCTTAGCAGTGCAGGGGCAACTAACACAACAAACTGCACTGTGAATGCAGATCTTGGAAGAGCTGTGACTGAAAATGGACCTACAGAGTCACCTACTCCTACTGGTTTTGAGCAAACCGTGGAGCGTTTTTGTGAAGGACCCGAGCGCTGCTCCACAGCGCCCTGCTGCAGCAGCCAGCACCAGAGAACTGCTCCTGTAACTGCCTGACCCTGCCGCGAGCGAGCGGGGACTCAGACTGCTGCACTAGCGCCAGGCCAAGCCCCTGCAAACACCAGCTTTCGGGCTTCATGCTTTCAAGTTCCTCTGCTCAAAACCTCATTCCTATATAACACTAACAGSAAAAGTGTTTCTGCTCAGGAGCTGTCTGGTGAAAAATAAAAGTCCTTTTGGAGCAATTAGGACACTAGCAGGCACCTCTCCCGTCAGGCTTTGTTACATCCAGTCTTTGGCAGCCTTCCTATGTTTTTAGTGAATATAACTGGATATTTCTCCTGCTCTTTCTCCCAAAGTGAAATGACAAGGTCACTGGCTTTCTCTCACCTATGTGCTGTCCATACATGTGATAGTAGAAGCTGAAGCAATAGGCTGTGTTTGTTGCTCCGTAAGGATTTTTCGGAGCGACGCTGAAAACCGGACTAACAAGTCTGGCCTTTTCTCCCTCCAGCCTGGGCCGCGACGTTTCGATGTACATGTAGAAACCTGCGGGAAGCACAAGGGAGAATTGACAAGTTGCAGTTTTCATGCAGAAAGACACCAGGGCTCTTAACAATCTGGATTTACTTTTCACATTCTTCTGACACCACTATGGTTTCTGGGACATATTTGTCCTGCCTTATGCCCAAGTGTTTTCCACAGCTGCTTCAAAGGCATCTCTACTATCAAGAGTAAAATCAGGGTGGGAAGGTTAGCGCTCATAAAGAACTTCAAATCAATATGATGTTGCATATGCACAAGAAAAGAAAAGATGTTTATTMCAGGGTTCCAACTTCGGTCTCAAGGTTGCAATTTTTTGCAATTTGTTCCTATAAACAGGGAGAGGGAGGGGCTTTCTAAAATAAAGAAAAAATATCTTGATGGAAATCTTTCAAGGAACATATTCAACTGCCCGTATCAATCACAGCTCAAAAGCTCATTTTAAGTGAAAGGTTCATTTATCCTGGTCCTGAACTGCACCAATGACAGAAACAGTCTTTACTTAATCCAACCATGCAAATACAGTGCAATATGATTTTTTTTCCTCTTTGGTAGTGCAGGCAGAGGCACACAATAAAAAAGCATGAATTATTGCAGTATTTGCTCAATTCGGCACAATACATCTGACGCTTCAAATGCAAATATATAGTGCAGCCAGGATGGTATGCATCTGCTAACAGGAGCAGCAGATTGAAAATTACACATTTTAGGAATACCCAAAGTAAAAACGGGACAAAAAATTCACATTCTGACAGCCTGAGAGGCCAAGTTAGAATTTAAATGGCATAAAATAGAAGAATATTTCAAGATGTGCTAGACAGTTTCCCCACAAGACGGTAATTGATGAGCTTCCAAAATGGCACCACTGAAGCAATGCAAGACGCTTAACGGGTTGCGGATCCAGCCACACTCCTCAGCACGGGCCATCTTTTAGGAGTCCTTTGAAGCGTGACGATGCTTAGTGCGACGAGGAAGGCAGCTGGCTGGGACTGACTCTCCTGGATCGTGCTCTCGCCCCGGCAGAGCCCCGAGGCGAGGGCGAGGGCGGCGCAGGACCGCTAACACTCACCCTCCTTGGAGCCYGTTCGGTCTGCGTTGGGCCCCGTGTTCGGGGTATATTTTGTGTCTCTAGTGGCAGTGCTTTGTTTTGTCCAGTCAAAATTGTCTGTATCGTCTTGAGTGAAGAGGCAAATGTTGCCGTCCTCAAAGCCACAGTGGAACTCTCCTGCCAGCAGAGTAAATAACATAAATTCAGTGACGGAAACTATTCTGTTATTTGTCAAAGTGCCAATTACAATGAACATATTGTAGGACGATGCCCATTAACAGCACAAGAAAATATATGGCACATTTATTTTACACCAGTCTCTAACACTAAGTGCATGTTTTCTCTTGCAGTGACCTCAATAAAAGAAAAATTCAGAGTCATCAATCTGTGTTGGTGTTACTTGAATTTAGATTCAAATCTTAGAGCAGATATCCTATTCCCACAGCCAGCTTTATACAACAATGTCCCTTAGAGCCACTGTCTTCTCTTACCCAGCCAGCATTTCTAAGCTGAAAAGAGACAGCCTGCTTGTGAAACAAGAACTATGGGGAAAAGGGTAAGATCTGGGTCCTTTTGGTTTAGCGAGAAGAGCAGTAGGGATAAGAGTGCAGCAACTTTTCAAAAATAAAGCGCTGTTCCCCGGGGACGTCTCCTAAACTATGCTTAGTTTTCACTAGAGACAGTAAAGCAAGTAGTGACTAAAATAACAGCAAGGCAAATTTGAAGTAGAAATGAAGACAAGCTCTCTAAAAATTAGCATAGTGAGCTCMGGAAGAGGTGAGCTTCCCATCACTGGTTAACTGTAAGAACCAGCTGAACAAATACCCATGATGAAGGTGTAGGTCTGGCYGAACCCCTATGTCAGGACAGTTGACTGGATCATCTCCTGAAAACACCTGCCCTTTTTTTGGTAAGATTTCTGCTATGTCCTTGAGGTCAAGTGCTAAAACCTTAGGTGTGGAGCCYAAAAAGGCTGAGAAGAGGCTTAGGAGGAGCTTCTCTGGTGTTAAACCACAACTTGGTCGCTCGCACAAGTCAACAGCGCTTGCTTGCCAGGTTAAGCTTGGAGGACAAAGCAATACTGTYAGGCCTTGAGGACCCAGAGCAAACCAGGATTTCAAGGTCAAGTTTTCATCTCAGAACAGAATAAGGGCTCACATAGTCAAATGTGCCAGCGCTTAATTTCAGGCACATGAGCARCTCCTGCCGAGTTTACCTGTCCAACAAAGTCAATTGATTTATCTGGGCAAACGCGCGCTTCTCTGTTCTCCAGGGAGCGCGCAGCTGTCCGCACACGGTGTCACACACAGCCTGCTGTACGGGGGGACAATTTATATTCATTGTTATGAGAACTCTAACACCCATGTGTCGCCATGGGATTATTCATCTGTGTTAAACTGAGAAGGTGTATAAATGTTTGCAGGTTTAGGGTTTCAGTGAACTATAAATCCACTTAAGCCACTGGAGCTTCACTCTAAATCAGGGAAGACACAGGGACCCGGAGCTTAGCATGGGGGTGGATTGCTAAGCAAGGACGCTAGTTTGAAGCTTATTTAAAATCTTATAATGCTTTAGAGTGGAAAAAGCAGGCTTGAGATTCATCCCAGAGCACAAGGTGCATTAGGAGTGCTTGCCAAGCTTCATCATTCTGCTTCTGGCTCTGCAGCGACAGCTACACMAACTGGATCCGCTCCCCAGCAGTTAGCACAAAATACTGTTTTATAGAGCTGGGTTACCACAAAAATGAAAATCTGCACACACCGCCTTGCCTACTGCTACCTCAAACAGATTCATGCAATTTCTCAATAAATTCACTGAAGTTATTCCATCAGGCAAGAATACTATTTTCCAAAGAAAAATTCCTTAACTGGACAGCATGACTGATAGCCTTCAAGGTGGTGAGCCAGCTCTGGGACTTGATTGCTTGGATTTGAGTCTGAAAGCAACATCTCTGAATTCTGGCATGACAAAGAAGTGGTAATGCACGAAATAACTAAATACAGGAGCACCATCATAAACACTGCAGAGCAGAAATACAAATAGGGCTCTGACTGTGGTTCTCCTTGAGAGACAAGCGAATTAAAGAACAAGGCCACCAGGAAGACACGTGCTGTGGATGGCATCCAAAATCCCTCAAGAGCAAAGCCTGTCAGCGGATGCAGATTAATGGCTGCACCTCCTTCTTCATCCTCCAAATCAGGAAGAAAGTGTAAAGAACCCCAAAAAGCCCTTGAAGGACACAAGGATATGAGTGAAACATTTGGAACAAAGTGCCTCTCATCTCTGAGAAYATCTTTTCCATGATTCAAGCTCAAAAGCTTGTTTGCTTTAAACTATGTCTTGTGAATATTGGACTTCTCCTCCACCTACGCAAGCCTACCCCATAGCAAGGATGGGATTATAAAACTATTTATAGTTTTGGCCTCCATATTTCTCAGGGGAAATGAAGTCTATATTTCTCCTATGTTCTTCATGAAGAAACTCTGTGAAGTTTTCTTTTCATTTTAAAGCTGTGGACAAGATCCTACATAAGACAGGAGGTAACAAAATAACCTAAGAACTATAAATGCAGTCCTCACGTCAGGATAAAAGAATCTGCAAAATTTCATCAACAGCTTTTTCCTTTAAGATTTCTATCCTACCTTGGAGCTTCACATACTTTTCCTGTTTGATATTTCAACGCTTAATGTTAATGTTATTCAAATATTTAACTTCACGCTCATGCAGCTAATCCCATGGCTAAATCACAGGTTCACCCATGTGCTTGCTTTCACTTTCCCATTAATGCTTCTGAATGCTTCTCCCACAGAAATTGGGGTTATTTTTAGAACATTAGTATTTTCCTGCAGATGAAGTGGAGAGGTCCTGGGGAAGGAAGACGACCTGGAGCTATAATTTTTCCTTCTTCCATCCACTGTTGCATTAGCACCTTGGCAGAGCAAGAGGAATTGCACCCTTTAGCCATCAATACAGCCTGCACATAAACCAAGGTGGACTTGTGTAACCCCCAGTGAAAAAGTGAAACACTTGTCATTTACTTTTTCAGCTGTGAAGGATCATTGGTGTTGACAGTTCTTCACATGCTAGGAAGATAAAGAAAAAAATGTACTTACGTAGGTGTGGGTTCACAGGAGCTGGAAGAYAGAGCAAAAATAAAATTAGCACAAAGGGAAAATTCTAATTCTAATTCAATTCTAATTCACCTGGGGATGATTTAAGGAAGAGAAGAGCTGCATGCAAACCTGCGGGCTTGGTGCCTTTGTGCAGGAATGCGCCGCAAACCAAGGGCAGGAGGATTGAATCAGGACCCGAGGTTCTGCAGCACACCGTGCTCACCACTTCAGGCTGGATTTTAGCAGTGCTCATAGGTACTTAACAAATAACCCTTTTATAAGTAAACAGTACTATTCTTCTATTTAAAAAGTCTGTACATACCTGAGTCAAGGAAACAAGCAGCACTGGCATAATTCTCAAAAAAAAAGCCAATGACAAAAGCCAAAAAATACCCCCAAAACTCAACTTGCAGATTTTAAAGTTAGAGGATGAAAACAGATGAAAATCAATCCTGATCATGCCTACAGGTATCGTAATGAGAAAGTCCCCCAAGGATTAGGCTCAGATTGACTATTCACCCTACCAATAGGCCAAGACTAGCATGTCCAGTACTAGGCATTTGAAATCAGGTTTGGATGAGCACTGGAAGCCTACAGCCCTGGGCCACCTCTCGACAGAAGGCTGAATTTCAAGATGTGAACTTTAGGGAAAAGAAGGGCTCTTCTACCACGAGCACTTACAAAAGTGACATGCAGACAGAAGGTCAGCCCATAGTTGGAACTGCATGTAACTAATAGAAAATTAGAAATGAAATTCTGTCTCCCAATAACATGAGCACCTGGTAATGCCAGATTCCAGTACAGGAGGTGCTCCACGTCTCCGTGCTGCTGGTCACGAGTCTGGTTTATGGACSCAACCTCTTGGCTCCTGACCCCTGCTCACGGACTCTGCTTAGCAGTAGAGTCAACGTGGAGTGCTCAAAACAGCTCCAATTTAGCATTGACATTTTGCTGCCTTCTCCAAAATAAATGAATAATGATTTGCTGCAGTGCAATTTTCTTAAGAAAATTAGTCATTACATTATATTAGATAACCTCATAGCTTTTACTAGAAAATTACCTTTCATTCTCCAAGAAACATTCATTTTTGAGTGATTGAACTTGGAATTAGCCGAAATCGCTGGCAACTGCATTTAGTGGTGCTTGCTTTGTCACCACATGTAGGGACTCTYACGGAAAGTGCCACCAGTGGGAAGCCTGGAGTCGGGCTACAGGGACTCGCAGCAGAGCAAAGTGTCAGCTCACACTGACCGACAAAAGCAGAACGACCAACTGAAGCACGGGTAGGCTGAAGGTATCTAACAGTGTAAACTGGAGAAAAAAGAGAAAAGCAAAGGCCCCAAAGCCCCCTCTGCTACTGCAGGCTGCTATATAGGAAGGTGCAATTGCTCTCGGTCTCATTTCTGGAAAGAAAGGCGGTTGTGTGTGTGCAGCAGGCTAGTGATGACAAATAGGCAAAAAGGGAAAYAAAGGAGCTGATTTAGGGATCAAACACACAAGTTTGGGTTGTCTAGAAAATCTTGGCACCCAAGAGAGTTATTGCTGGTCTGCTCAGCTGCCTTGAGGCTAATGTTTGCTTTCAAGAGCAGAAGCGAGTGCCATGAATTGCCTGGGCTTGSTTAGAGCCAAGACATCCGATCCCTTAGGCTCAACACCCTCCTTCCCACCTGGAGGGAGTCAAACCCAACACAGCCCCAGCCTGCTGGCGATTCCACTTTGCAGTGATGTGCACCCATCTAGGATACAACACACACCTGTGTCCAGAATGCTTTTCCCTTAATGCTTGACCTTCTTTTAGTGCATTACATACATTGAAGGTTATGTACAAAGAGAGTCACCCTTCCCACAGAGTATTCCTACAAGGGACATTTGCTCAGCTGACACGGAACGCAGCCTTCACCATCGTCATGATGACCCCCATCACTAAAAACTGCTGCAAATTAAGCTTTAGTAACTAAAAAAAACGCTAGGGGAAGCAGAGTAAACTATTATGTTTTTTACCCTTGAAAAGTGATAGTTATTGGCAATTCCTGTGAGAACCAGAAGCTTCACTCAAGGTGAGGGACCCAGTCCCACGGATGGCTGAATGAACCATCCCTGGGTCTTCCTCACCTGCGCTACCTAGGCCTGTAAGCAGCTAGACACTCTTCTGTATAGAACTGAGGAGTTTCTACAGCTTTTACTGTTTGCTGTATGGAAATATGTAGTTCAACCAAGAAGTACTTGGCCAGYGTCCTCTGCCCATCACCGCCACAAGGGCTGCTTCTGTACACACCAAAAGAGCATCCTGGAGGCCTCTTTTTTCTTCAGAGAAGGGACCCTAACTTGCATGTTTCCTCACTGATTAACTCTATAAATATTTACACATAAATGTATGTATAAAACGGTAACTGTGCAGCTTCTAACGGGAGCAGTTGGAGGGTTTTACAGCCAGTTTGTAACAGGCAGACTGACACAGATTTATGCAAAGKGATGGAGATCACATTTGAACCGGTACCGCAGGACAGATCCGTGCTGTGCCGGCCCAAAGACCAGGCATTAGCGTTTCTTGAACTGCCCCAACCGTGTGAACTCGGCACAAGAACATATGCAGCCACCAACCATTTGTCAAGCTATGTCTGGCTCTCACTATCAGCRCTGCTCCTACTGCACACGCTGCTCTTTTCGCCAGCCCTTCTCCGTATGGAAGAGAAAATAATGCATGGAAAATAAACGTTTCCCCTCCAAAAAGCTTGTGCCCTCCCCACTGCCAAAAATGCCATCCTGAGTAGTACTTACGTGGCCTGTCTTTATAATAGCAATAAAGCAATGGAGTCTCTTAAACACCACAGGTCGTGTTCAAAGCAGGTTTTGCCTTWATTTTAAGGTATATATATATCTTTACCAACTTTTCTGAAGGGCTCGATTAGGGTACATTAGYGAAATCTGAGCCAGCTTCTTGCACYGCATAGGATAAATCTCCTGTCTAGTAARGCCAAATAGAAACAAGATGCCAGAAGCGTCTCGTTGATTATTAAACACTTTTCAACTATTTTGGAAAATCCTTTGTRTGGAGTTCCCACACAAAGTGCCACGCCACGACAGACAAGCTCGAGCTGTCCTCTATTTGCACAAAGCTGAAATTCAACCACAAAAGTTAATTCATTTATTAAAGGCAGAAGACATTGCTACCAGATTTAGCAGCTCTAATTACCATGTGTCCAATCTGCTTTTCACACTGCCTGCACTTTTTAAAAAAATGTAATGAAATCCCATTAGCCTGATTAAAGCTTAAAAAAAAATAAGGAAAAATGTTTGAAATACAACTTCTTACCAGCAATACAAATACACTAGCGTATTTCAAACACAAGAAAAAACTTTTTTGCCCTAAGGGTGATGAGACCCTTGAACTGGTTGCTCTGAGAGCTTGTGGAGATACCTTTGGAGACATTCAAAACTCAGCTGGACACAGTCCTGGACAACCTGCTCCAGGTGATTCTTCCTGAGCAGGGAGTTGGATCAAAGCAGCACCCTTCCAACCTCAGCGATTTTTCAAGATGTTAGATTGTTACAGGTTCCAAAAAATATACTTTTAAAGTGGTGGAGGGAGAAACACAGGCTGACACTGCTAGAATCCATGGTATCCTTCTCAAATACAAACATCCAATTAAAATTCTATTGAAATTATGAAGATTCTAATCCTTGSTTAAGGTCAAAAATTAAAAAAAAAGAGCAATAGAGAGGAAGACTAAAAAGATATCTTGATTCTTTTAAGAAGTTTTTACATATCTTTATTTTACTGCCCAGGCAATGTTTATAATTATTACTCCTATGTAGGCAAGCCTGCTGCTGTGCATCCCTCCAGCCCATTAACTACATTTCTCAGTTTCCAACATTTCCACTATAAGTATTGAATTTGCACTACACTAATACATGCGATATCGTTATTTTATAGTGGGAGCTATAACATCCTTAAAATTAGACTGGTAGCAGTCTGCTGGCACTGCTCTCATTGGAAGCATGTGGAGCTCGGTAAGGGAACCCGGCTTTTGGGTTATCTTATTGMCTACCATCTGGGTCGCAATTCCTAAAACTGTGAATTTGTAGGAGGAACAGCGCTGCCTATTGCTCCCTGAGCGTCCCCTGCACCTGGGGCACAAAATGCCAACAAAAACTTGTGGTCCAGGAGGAATTCCAGCAAAATGTCACAAAATGCCCATGGCATTTGTGCGGAGGAAACACCTCGCGGAGGAAACAAGCCCTCCTTGTGCTGTGATTTTGCTGTTGTGAACTTTGGAGAGATGCTTAGAAAACACTCTGCAAAAGGCAGAACCTGAGACTCCCCCACCAGCACTGCCAGCTGATCTGATGGTTACCGCAATGTGCAACTACGCTCTAATTGATACTTACATTTAATCTGATTTTTTCCCCCTCTTGGTATTAGTAGAGTGCTAGAAATAATTWAAGATAGAACCAAGTGGGGTTGAGCTCATCATTGATCATGAATAATTCTACAAGCTATGCATGAGAAATTTAAAATTTAACAAATGTATTCATTATTTTTAATTACTTGTCAGCGATTTGGAGAGTACTTGTTGGTCTGCAGGTTGCCTTTGGGCCAGCTGCTGCACGTGGTATCTCACTTTGGGCTTGCTTAGATGCCTGCATARCTCCAGTCACTGCTCTATCTACCCGCAGGAGCAGCTGGCCATATGSAATAATGTACCTTATCTATCCAATTCTAATGCACAAATCCGCAGCGCAACATGAATTTGGGGTGGAAAATATAAAAACGCTCTTTTATACCTGCATGGGTCTAGAAAGAATTACTATTTTTTTCATATGTTCTCATCCAGATAGGAATGCCTTAAAAATGCTGATCCTGGGGGAAAAAMAAACAAACAAACAAAAAAAAMCAAGTACTCTGATGATGCCAAAACACTGCTTTGAGTTCTCCACAACACCACATATTTTGTAGATTTTTTTTTTTTGAAACCTCATTGACTTCGAAGTATTTGGAACAAGAGCAAATGAGCAAATTCTTTATGCTTTTCCCTTAATATTTCAGGAAGAAAGATTAATTTA